CTTGGATCACAAAGCTTATGAAAGAAGAATTCTTGATGATTGCCAAGAAGAGGATGAAACGAATACTTAGGGTGTAAATGGTGATGGTTGAATTTGGCTGAATTGCAGAATCTGGCTGAATTTTTTGTGATTTCTTGCAGAATATGGCGGAATAATTTAAAACTTAAATGGTAATAGCTGAATCTGGTAGAATATGGCTGAATTTTTAAAAACTAATAAATAAATTAAACTTATAAAAAAAAATTAAACAAAATGTTGTTTGTCAACAAAATTAGTCAAATAAACTAGTAAAATATTAATTTTTAAATTTGATATATTTAATAATTTCATTAAACATAAGATAACAACATAAATTGACACAATAACTTGTAACTTGTAAAAATTATTTTTTAAAATTTGTTTTTAATTTTAGATATCCTAAATATTCTTACTCAATTAAAATTTTCTGTTATCTCACATCAATTTGAAGTAGAACGAATTATGTTACCACATATTGAATATCTAAAAATTAAAGAACATGAATTATATCATGTAAATCATTTAAAAAAAATATTTTAACATAATAATTGAGGATGTTAAAATTTATTTATCAATAATTGAAAATTTTGAATCTTACCAAACTGAAAATTTTAAACTTAAATTGAAATACAAAAACACGATCTATTTTCTTAAATATTAGAACTACATAAGTTATCTAATTTTGTTATAAAAAAAATTCTACAAATTCCAAAATTATTTTATTTACTTGAAATACCCGAACACGATATGTTCTTACTCGTTTGATAATGATTTTAAATATCTGGATTATATATACTATATTCGCATTATCGATCAATTTTTAAAGAAATATTTCAAATGTAATTTTGATATCCTTACATAACTCTCATATTCGCTCTAATCCGATTTTTTTTTGCCTCAAATAAACATATTATCTATCACTTAATGCTCTAAAAATTGTTGAATTCAATTAAATTTTTTTGGTTTTTTTTTGCGGAATTGTTGAATTTAGCTGAATCTGGCAGAATTTTGTTAAATAGCAAATGGTGTTGGCAGAATTGTTGAATCTAGCTGAATGTGCAGAATTGTAAATTTGTGTTACCATTTATAGCCTTAGTCATGCTAAGTTTATTCTAATATATATGAAAATACTATTTCACTAATTACAAATTTTTATTATTATTATTTGTAGTTTGTGTTTGATCTCACCACAAATATTAAAGTTATAATACAAAAAATCTCTAACTTTCAAAGTAACACTAAAAATATAAAAGTATATTATCTAACATATCTATATTTAGAAGTTTAAAACTTAAATGTTATACATATTTTAATTTTTTTTAATAATATCGAGTAATTATATAATAAACTATTTTTTTTTTCTAAATATTTTCATGTCATCTAGTTATCAATTATTTAGCATATATTTTTTAATGGTAATCATTAATACAAAATCTGGTTTTAATTATTTTCAATAGTTATTTTGTGGGGAATCAAATCACTATTCACTCGCTCGGCGAAATTCGCAGTTTGTATAAATA